TATCCTGGTAATTTCAATGCTTAAGTTAAATTCTCAAAATTATATATCTTTTTTTCTTCTATTCCCTTTCCCACATTGAACTGTGGTTCCTCTGGAGCCCATCTTTGGATAAGGCTAGTGGCTACTGGGTCCCAAGTACCAGTAGCTCCCATTATCGTTTGCCATTCAGGCCACTCTTCATCCTCTCAATACAAACCTTATTTATTTTATTCTAGATAAAAGAGGCTGCTAAAATATAACCTAGAATCATTCTCTTATCTTTAGGCCTAAATCTTTATATACTTCTTTGATGATTTAGGCTCCGTCTTCCCATACCAAGTCCAAGCATGGCAGACATAGTCACAGGAAGTACAGTAAAACTGAGAATACAGGGAAGTCAAGGAATAGAACTAGTATGGAACTCGAGTAGTAAAGTCAAATAGAGGAGACTAGAAACAAGCTACTTTATGGTTCAACTTAAACACATTTAGACTAAATGAACTTAGGGAAAGAAAAACCAATAAATAAATACAACCTCTTCCAAAAGCTCCTGTTTCTTAGAGTAAAACCTAAAGCCATTACAATGGCCTTGATATGCAATGTAACTAACTATACTATTATAAAATATTCTTATTACATTTTCCCAACTTGATGTAAGCTTCAGGAAGCCAAGGGTTTTGTATCTATGTGTCTTATGTATATTCTTTGTGTGTATGGGAAACAGTGGCTAACGTGTTAGTGAATGAAAAATAATATATCCTGATTTCTAAGTGCTTGAAGTCAGGGAAGGTAGATTGCTAAATTCAGTATATCATGGCAGAAAACTATTTGTTACTTGAGAAAGTTAGTGAGCTGTTAAATTTACTTGTCAGTAGGCACTATTATTTTAATAATTAGTTTGTAGTTAATAGTCTGACTTTACAATGTATTTCCCAATTCCTGTTGTTTTCCTTTTAAAAAAAAATTTAAAAATACCATTCATCTGGCTATATTTGACTTAAGATATATATATGTGTGTGTGTGTGCGTGCATACACTTATCACAATATTCAGCAAGTACCACCTGCCTTTAATCTCTTATTAGGTTCCTATCAAAATGTTGAGGAGTGGTCAGAGAAGAAAACAATAAACTATTTTTCATCTTTTTGCCTAATGTCTTTGAATAAATTTTGTATTATTTTAAATCTTTGGCATTTTCATATATTTTACAGCTTTGATTGTCTTGGTGTTATTGGTTTGTTTTACTATGTAATCGTGTTCTTATTTCTATCTTAATTGTATCTTATTTATGTGGCTTTTGGAAAACATTATATATATAATCAACCTGGTCTTTTACTACTCTTACCTACATACAGGTGGAATTTGTTCCTGAGCTCATTTCATGACTGTTAGGTGTGTAAGATTTCTTTGTTACTAGATCCATATTGTTGATTGGCTTAAAAAAAAAAACAAAAACCAGAAACACATTTCCTTAAAAATACTAATACATATTCATTGTAGATACTTGAAAAATATAGAAAAGCATAGATAGAATAAAATTCAAATAGAGTTCCAGTACATAGAGGGTTATTGCTAACATTTTGATGTATTGGGTTGTTTGTTTTGTTTTGGTATGCATAAATGAAGGTGTTACCAAGAGAAAATGAGATAGCCAGGGAGAGAATACAAGGAAACCCAAACATTTATGTACTGTGTGGAAGATAAATCAGAGAAAGAGATTACCAACCAGTGAAGGAGATTGAAAAGGGAAATATAGGGTTGTAAAGTAATGAGAATAAGTGGAAAGGATAGGTGAATGGAAAGCTCAGAAAATTCATGTCATTTTGATTTAAATGAGATTTATTCATCAAATCATCTCCATTACAATCTGTTTACGTAAAAGCAGATGAATTAAAAATCCATATACCACCACTCCTTGAGTGGCCCTGTGTCTCTAAACATATATGATGTCTCCTCAAACAACATTAGCGTTGTTAAAATGTAAGGATGTCAGATAAAATGTAAGATATCCAGTTATATTTCAACTTCAGATAAATGATGAATAATTTTTAACATAACTGTATCCCAAATAGTACATACTTTTCTATATTGGGTTAATTTTGATAATTTATATTTTGTTAAGTTTTACTGAGTGTACTGGGAAACCACAGGAAGATTTAGACATGGTAGCAGCATGATAGGAACTATATCTTTAAGAGAAAGATTTATGTTGTGCTGAGCAAGACACTAGAAGTAGAAAATAGGGAGCTTTTTGTGAGATTGATGAAAGCTATAAGCCAAGAGGGAAAATATGAAGTATGACTCTTAGGGTTTTGGCTGGAATGGCGTTGCTATTTACCGAACTGAGAAAGAACTGGCAGTAGCCAAATTTGGAGGGAATTTAAGAGTAAGCTTTCAGGATAGTTCAGTTTGAGATACCCATGAGGGATCCAGGGGAACATGTTGAGTAACTCAGCAGTTGAATATGATGAATCTGAAGACAAAGGCTAGATATACAACTCTGAAAATAAGAAAGATATTTACCAATAGAATCTATAGCTTTGGGCCTGCCAGGGCAGTGGTTGTTGACCAAAAGAAGACAAGGCAAAGGAAGTGGCATGGGGTGGTGCGATATTCAGAGGCATGAAGAATCATGAGGCGTGATGCTGCCGTGTCCACTTGTAGCCACGTTGTCTATAGGGTTAGATGACTTATGCATCATACTAACTGTGGAAACACATTGTTTAGTTAAATTCACAGTTCTTGCAGCACAGATTACACATAAGTGCTGTGGAAACAGCAAAGGAGCTGTGAGAGTAGCATCATGCAGGTGAGGGTGGTAACTTTTTATTTTAATGCCTCAGCACCTCCTTCAATGCTGGGCCCACAGTAAATGCTCAAAAGCATTCACTGAAATAATGAACAAATAAATTGCTGGAAAATCAGCTCTGTTGCCTGTTGCCATACCGTGTGTCTCACGTCCACGCCAGAGCACAAAGTAGAGTTTTTGCCACAGTTTTAGTCACATTCAGCGATGGAAAGTTCCACACCTGGCAAGCATTTCTGGTAGATTTTCTTTTTAACACATTATAAATTGTATGTTTTAACTGAAACCTTCTCTTCTTTCTTAATTGTAGATAAATAGCACTAATGCTTATTTAGCAAATGGAAAAATGTCTGAGCCAGTGTGTTCCTGGGATACATTGGGTTTTATTGTTTTTATTTTATTTATTTATTTATTTTCCTCCACTAAAAGACACCAACCTTAATCCTTGGCAATCCATAAAAACCATATATTTTCAAGTGCCAACCAGAGTGAAAGAACTGGCCAATTTTAAGCAAGTTGCTCTATTTTTTTTCCCTCTTTCAGTTGAGGTATGTGCACTTAAAATTCTTCCTGGACTATAGCCAAATTGCAAAAGAAAACAAAGTTAAAAACTGAAGATCTGAAGAAATATGCAAGGGAACCTGAATTGATTATGCATTTGTTTTTTAATTCAATTTTTATAATTAATATTGTTTCTAATGTATGACACCATTCATATCCAAGTACTGACATAATTTTTAAAACATCAGTGCAAGGGATCAGATCAAAATTGTGAGCAAGACTTTCTCAATTAAGCAATAAGTCTTTACCACCATCAGGCAACAGGGCATTGCATATTTAGGTTCTGTGAGGGTAGTTTGTACCAGCAAGTTTTTGAATGACTGGAGTTAAATGGAAACTTGAAAACTTATCCCATCAAATGGCCAAAACTAACAGGGCTATGTAGCTTAAGTATTCAGACATCTATGGTGCAATGCTCAAGCAGGCAACTGATGTCAGTTCTGGGAAATGGTATTCAGAGCAGTGGAATGAAATAGTTGATGATTAGATAGAAAGAGCAGTCTACTTTCAGATTTCTCTGCATAAACGGCAATAGAGAAGTAAAGCTGCAAAAACAAATGGAAACTCCAGCCCTGCACTTGACATTTGAAATATCAAAATGATAGTTGGGAAAGATTAAAACGGCTGCCCTGATGTGATGTTTCCCATTCACCTCTTCTGGATGATGAAAATCACAGTGGGTTTGAAAGTTCTGTTTTTCTCATTAACCATCTTAGAAGAGGTTTGTGCTAAAATGACCAAGACCCCAAGTGAAATTTCTTAACAGAGGAACAGAAGTGATATTAGAAAGTGGGTAAGCCTGTCAAAGATTCTTATAGCAGACAGAGTGTCTAAATACTCACGATGCCTACATCCACAGAAAAATTAAGTCTGCATTCTCCCTGAAGGTGATCTGATTTCATGCCTCTCGGAGCATGCTAAAAGATGACATCAATATCCAGTCTTACATCGTCCTAATTGTCTTAGCTGCAATAAATCATCATCAGAGGAGAAAAGGACCAAAATTGGGGAGTATTTTTACAGCCTATGTAACGGAGTTAAGGAATTTTAAAGAGGACTGTTTCTAAGCCCCACAGGGAGAAAGTATTCTCTTTATCTTAGCAGTACAGACACTGTGTAGTGTTCCATGTTAGGAACACCAAGGATGAATTCAATGAATTCATTCTTTGTGTCGAATATTTATACCAGTTTCTTTTTAGGAATCAGGATTTTTAAAAGCAGAAACATTTGCTTTCTTAGACACTGCAATTAACATCATGCAGATTAGGCAACAGAGAGGTATAGCTATTGCATTTGGAACAATCTGATATACTTCACCATCCACACATAATTCTGAGGGCTGGGGTAAGTCTTGTGTGGGACTAGCTTCATAGTGGGTTTGTATATTAATTGTACCACAGTGAGAAATCTGCTTCTTCTTAAATTTATGATTAAACAGCATTCTTAGTTAAGAAATATATATATCCTCTTCTGGTTCTTTTCCTTTACCCCAAGAAGTATCATCTTTTTCCAAGCGCATGTACTATTTCCTCAAAGGATCTCTCTGTCTCTTCCCTTTATTTCAACAGACACATACATTTCTGCCCTAATCTATAGCAGCACTTTGGAGTATAACACATGACATGAAATGTTTTTTACAGAAAAAAATTACATACCCTTTTCTTCTTCTTTCCTTTTGGTCTTGTTGGCAGAATAATCTTCTTAAATGCTCCAACTGACTGGATGAATTTGGGCAAACAGAGAAGAGAGGAGGTGCTGGAAGGAGGTCCTTTACAAATGAACCTTTGTCTGCCTTGTCTCTTGCCTGGGATTGACAGACTCACTGCTCCAGCCAGGACTAGAAGGAGGAGGAGGGAAGTGAAGGAGACAGGGCTTCAGGAACTGCCTCCCTTGGGATCTTCCACACCAGGCAAGAATGAATTGAACAGCTTCTTTAGCAGGGGAATAACCAGTGCACACAAGAACCTCAGGGAAGCAGACTCTGACAGCAGTAAAATATGAAACCTGAGGGCTTTAAAAAGAACACAGAGTGACTTTTACCTTAAGAGAAACTTATGTGTACGTGGGGCAGGGGAGGGAAGAGAAGAGGAGGAGAATGGTTGACATTATTCAGGGAGATGACTGGGCATTTCTTCCCATTTTACAGTCTGAATTTTTTGTCTGTTTGTCTTGTTTTCCTCACCATCTCAATACAACATTTTGGTAGAATGTATGAACATCCCAGTTGGGTCTGAATATCCCAGTTCACATCCCATCCCTCCAGCTTCTCACCCAGAGAATCGTTACCAATGGAAAGAAAAAGAAAAGACTAAAAATGAAATCTATTCTGTATGGCAGAGAATAAAGGCCCAAAAGGAATTTCACTTTGATTTTGAACAAACAGTACTAGAGCTCTAGTATCCATTTAACCAATTTTTTTTTGTTTCGGTTTTTTAACGTTCAGTTAGGACTATGTTGTGGGAACTAGAAGTATTATAATAGAGGAGGAGTTATCCAGACAGAGAATTGAGAAAAGGGCAATCCCAGGTTGTACTAACAAAAGTCTAAAGGTGGAGGGGAGGGCAACTACTTTGGGCTTTCCAGGGAGTGTCATATGGCTAGAGCCAGAGATATATGAGATTAAACGAGGTAGAAGTAAAGGCTTGAAGTACTTCATATGCCATACTAAAAGTCTGAGATTCTACCGTTAGAGTGACTAGAAAGACGGGAAGAACATACTAAAAAGGAATGAACTCCCTGGTCTCAGTGTGCAAAAAGGATGGTGTGGGAGGAAAGAAACCAGAAACCAGAAACAAGGGCTTTTGGAGTAATTCAGATGGGAAGATAAGTAGGAGGCAAACGGAAAGGACCTGACGACCCGTTAGGTTAGTGGCAGTGAATCTACAGCACACACGCCACGGGGGACACGTAGAACCGTCTCTGTAGGCATGTGAGCCAAGGCAACCCAGCAGCCGAGCATCGGATTAAAGGTTATTTTTTTCTAAACTAAAACCTCAGTATTCAGGTTTAATTGCAGTGCTGGCACTTTGGGATAAGCAAGTGGGTTTACTGTTGCACTTTGGGCACTCAGTCTCAGGTTATGTTTAGGGTAAGTTGCTGTATGAGAGGGAGGACAGTTTATCCACTTGCAGAGCCTTGGGCCCTTGGATGGATGGTGCTGTTATTCCTCTAGAGAGGGAATACAAAAGAAAGCTATTATTCAAAAAGAAAATGTAATACAAAAGTTTGGATGGAGGAGGAGCAGGAAGAGACTTTAGTTGATGAATGTTTAATTTTTTTGTTTTTCTTTTTTTGTTTTTTTTTGGTGTTTCTCCGGTACCAGGAACCGAACTCACCACCTTGCGCTTGCCAGGCAGGCGCTTTTGCCGCTGAGCTAAATCCCCAGCCCCTTGTTTTTCTTTTTTGTATTGGTACATTTTTGATATACAGAGTAACAGATGAATGTTGAATTTAAGGTGGCTGTGATGCAGTTGAAAATGTTTGGTAAGCAACTGGCTAAATGGACCTAGTGCTCAGGGAAAAAGTCTAGTCTAGAAAATTAGAGTCATTAACTAATCACCTAAGTACCCAATAATGTCAACTAAGCAGCTAATAGAGTTATTCAGTTAAATGATGGCGGAAGCGATGGCTATGCCTATGGTTCGCCAGCTCTTGACACCTCTGAAGCCATGTATTCCTCATCACCTTCTGAAATAGGTAGTTATTCTACTTTATCATGAGGAAACATCAGAGATATTAGATAACCTGTCCAAGTTCAGATACACATCCAGAAAAAAGACAAGGCTAGTGTAATTCTAGTGTCTTTGTTTTTCACAATTACCTGCACTACCTCCAGGGATATATTGCAGAGAAGAGGATATGGCTGGATCAGAACCTTAGGGATCTCCAGTATTTAAGGGGTGAATATATAGCTGGGAAAGAAAGTGACAAGGAGTAGCCAAAGAAGTAGTAGAAAGGCTAGAAGAGTGTTGTCATGGAAATCAAAGAAAGAATGGAGGTGAGGAGGAGGCCCCTGCTGGCAGTTTTGGGAAGTCCTGTGTTACTATACTGATAGGGAAGCAGGATGAGTAATGTCAGGTTCAACAAAACCAGAAATGTTTACCAGCCCCAAGAGTGATTAAGTCTCTGCCTGGTCTCCATTTTGTGGAGCCTGGACTGAGTGGCATGGACTTCACAGGAAAGAGAGGTGTGTGTGCAACTGACTGTGTACTTCCTTTGCATATTAATAAACAAGTTTCCTGCAGTCCTTACTAAGGATTGCATCATAGTCAGGGTTAACTTTTTATTATGATTTAAATATGCAGAAATATGTGGGTATGAGGACAACCATGGAAATTAGCCTTCCATCCTTTTTTTTTTTTTTTTTTTTTTTTTTTTTTGAGACAGGGCCTTGCTATGCAGTTCAGGCTGGCCTTGAGCTCACTTTGTAGCCCATGATGGCCTCGAACTCGCAACAATCCTCCTGCCTCAGCCCCCCGAGTGCTGGGATTACAGGCGTGCACCACCATGCCCGGCTACCCTTCCATTTTAATTGCTATCCATCTTATTTACCTCACAGATCTAGGCCAGAAATATGATGCCAAGCCAAATGGATACTCCCAACAACTAAATCCTTTTTTCCTCTTTGTTTTATTTTCCCTTGCTGCTAATTCTTTCTTCATTAACAATATGGGGCTGCTTATTTTGTCTCCTTGTTTCTGAATTTACATTTTCAAATTTAGCAATGCACAGACCCATACAGTGTGCCTAGTTAGCATTGCATTTCTTGCATGCGGCTTCCAATGGGACACAACAGCTCTTGGTAATAGTCCTATAGTCTCTGGATCATGTTGTAATTCACTTAGGAAAGTGTTCACTGAAGAAACACATTTGGACCCTGACTTCCTGGTCTCTAGTGTTGCCCAATTGTTTATTTATTATTTATTACTAGCTGGACTTCCCATTTTCCCTAGGGAGACTGATTAAAGATTGCTGAATTTGAAAAAGCTAGCAGTTGTTTATCCTGGTGTCCGCTGTACAGAGCTGTCCATGCTGAGAGGTAATCAAATTGGACCTGGAGAGGCCAGCAACTGGAGAATCTCTCCCAGAGACTTACCGTGGGGCTCAGATCTGAAACCACTTCTTGTTGGCTTGTGTATGGTTCTTTGTGGCATTTTTGTTTGCCTCTTTTAATGCACTATTATTCAGACCTCTTGCTGAACCTTGCTTTATGTTGCTCTGGAGACTACCTGTCTGTTCAAGACAGCGTTAGGGGCTTGCTAAAGTTTGAACATCTGAAGTGACATCAAACATATATTTTAAATAAGACCATCAGAATATACTGTCTAGCTTTTTAGAGAATATATCCAGCTACAATTTTTATGTAATGGTATGCGTATCTCTGTCAGTCTGTCCTTCTATTTTTCTTATAGAAATACATGTCCTCATTTTTAGATCCAGTCAGGTTTATTACAAATAGAAAACCCAAAACTTTTCCTATAAAACTTAAACAACTATATCCAAAATTCTGGGGTTGGGGATATAGCTCAGTGGCTTAAGCGCCTGCCTGGCAAGCACAGGGTCCTGAGTTTGATTCCCGGTATCAAAAGAAAAGAAAAGAAAAGAAAAGAAAAGAAAAGAAATGTATCCAAAATTCTGGTATTAAATTTGAAAACTGGTCTAATTAGTATTTCCTTAAAAAAGGAACAGCAAAACCCTCCCAGGCAGATGAAATCTCAGGAGGTATCTTAGATATAAACAATTGCAGACATCAGAAATCTTAAGCTTGTAAGAAAACAGTAAGGTAGGAACACATGTGAGCTTCTGTGATTTCCACCTGGGAGCGCGTGCGTATTCCTGATTTCAGAATGCTGCTTCTCTGTTCTATAACTGAGCCCTTCCTCTCATTCCCCTCAGGCTAAAGTCCTTCTGGAATCACTGAGGCCGGCAGAGGAGGAAAAAGCAGCTGCTGGTTTCAGACTTCACAGTTCAGATCCTCCCAGGCGGGAGGTAGGACTTGGTTTATGTATCTAACAATAGGAGTTTCAAAATAATTACTCAAATCAAAAGCTAATTCACAATCTGTTTGGTCAAATAATAATGAGCTACAGAAAAAAAAATTACCTTTTAAAACTACCCTATAATCTTTAATCCATTAAAAAGAAATAAGGTGTTGTATTAACTGAATTATTTTTGAATTCTGTAAGAATTTTCTTTCTGATTAAAACTATTTAAACATTTCCCTTAAGGTTTCCCCTGAGACTGGAACACTTTTGCTTAAAATGGCTTTTGCAACTTCGTTGAACAACATAACCTCTATGTCCCAAACTTAGCTTTATGCCACTGAAGTCAAACTTATGAAAACAGACTGTACCGAGGAGTAGCCAGTGAGGCCCTTGAGGGAAAGGCAGAATTTCCAAGTAGCTGGTCGGGCAAGATGTTGAGCTCATGCTGCTACAACTGTGGAAAGAGAAGCGCTTTCAGGGAGTGTTAGTACTGAAATGCAGTTTCAGTGATACGCTGGGGAGCTGGCAGGCTTCCTGGATGGGCAGCCCTGGCTATGGCAGGGATGACAGGAAGGGGCTTCTTGATGGAAGACTTTTAGTCATAACAGGCAGCGCAGAAGCAGGCACCCTCTTCTACCCCATGGACTTTTTCATGGACTTTAGACGTAGAGGTCTTGAGCACCACAGTAACATGATCTGTAAGTACAGTGGAAACAAAGTCAGACAAGTGAGGAAGGGTGTCAAGGAAAACTGTCCAGCTTCAGGAGCCTGTGGAATCGTTAGAACAAGTGATAATATTAACATGAAGTAACTTGGGTAGGAAAAGTGGCCAAAAGGGAAAGGCACTTGAAAATAACCTCATTAGTTTCCTGGCATGGCTACTGAATTCTGCTGTAAATCCTCAATTTTTTACTTATAAAATAAAGGGTTTAATGAATGGTTTTCTCCAATTTCTATGAATATCTGATACTCAATATCTTTTTAAAAATAAGCTTTATGGGCTGGGGATTTAGCTCAGCAGCACAGCGTCTGCCTGGCAAGCACAAGGTCGTGAGTTCAATTCCCGGTACTGGAAAAAAAAAATAATAAAATAAAATAAAAAATAAATAAACTTTATTTTAGAATACCTCTATATTTATAGAAATACTGCTAACTAGTACAGATACTTCCTCCATGCCCCATATATAATTTCCTTTTAACTAAATTATTATATTATGCATTGTTTGTTATAATTAAAGAATGACTATTGAGATATTATTATTAACCAATAACTATATTCTATTCTTTTTTAC